TAGGGGTGTGGGGGTCTTGTGGTGGCAGTGGGGGGGGGGCTCTTATGGTGGCAGTGTCCTTCCATTAGTATTCTAGCCTCCAACACCAATCCTCCAAACTTCTTGTCTCCCCCTCCCACTTGAGAGGAGAGGTAAAAGGGGGTTGGAGCCTGGAGAGCTGGAATCACAGCTCTTGTGCCAGGTGCATGGGAGTCCCATGTGGCATGAGGGTGTGGGGTGCTGCCATGCCTGGAATACCCCGACAGCTAGGGAAGTACAAGTGCCTCGAGTACTACCAGTTCAATCACTTTTGATGCTGTTGGTGTCACAGCTCCAGGTGCTTTGCTGGGGACAGCAGTGGCCAAGGTGCATCAGTTTGGTTTCTGGGCAGTCTAGCAAGCTGTCAGTCAGCTTGCTAGATTGTTCACCCCACTCTCTCTCCCTTTTGCATGAAGAGGATAGATCAGAGCACTCTGGGATTCTGGGGGTCTCTGTCCCTGTGAAGAGGTAACACAAATGTGAAATGCTTCCAAGAAGTACTTCCTTCCAAGAGGTACCTTTTTGTAATGTTTTGGATGTTTTTGGAATGCTTCAGAGGGCATGTACATTTGTACAGCTGCCCCTTTAAAGCATTTCAAAGGCATGTGGAACACTTCAAAAGATACATCTGTCCACGTCCTTGGTGGTGTACATCTGTGTCTTCAGCTTATCCTGGAGCAGCTGGTAGCTCTAAAGAAACATGTTTAAACTAGGTGCATTAGGGGATGGGTGTGCAAACAGGAATGCAAGCAGGGCAGACAGTCAAGCAGGAAGGACATAGAGAAGGCAGTCAGGCAGGTGCTGAGAGGCTGGAACAACATTGGGGCGGTGGAGAACTGGCAGTTACCAATGAGGGACTTAAGTGTCTATACACAAACGCTAGGAGTATGGGGAATACGCAGGAGGAAATGACATTCCTGCTAGCAAATAGGGAATATAATCTTGTCAGAATAACAGAGACCTGCTGGGACACCATGCATGACTAGTAGAGAAGAAGGGAGGAGGTGTAGCTCTCTATGTAAAGGTGCAGCATGCCACCTTGGAGACCCAAACTGCTTTGAGGGAAGGGCAACTTGAGACCCTCTGGGCCAAGATACTGAGGGGGGATAAGGAGACGGGGACTTGATGGTTGGTGTCTGCTACAGACTGCCACACCAGGAGGAGCTGGATCTGAATTTTCCAGAGAACTGATGGTGGCTGCACATTCAAGGGACATGGTTGTCATGGGTGACCTCAATTACCCTGACATTTGCTGGGAGGAGCACTTGGTCAGATCTGACCGGTCACATAGGTTTTAGTAGGTGAACAGGCCAACCAGGGGGAAGGATTTATTGGATTTGGTTCTAGCTAAAGGGGATGACCTGGTGGGAGATCTGAAGATTGTGGATAATCTGGGAGATAGTGATCATGAGATGATAGAATTCACTATCCATCGTAGGGCAGGGAAGTGTTTGACTTCAGGAAGGCTGACTTCAGTAAGCTTAGGAAAATAGTGGGAGAGACCCTATGGGAAGAGGGACTGGAGGGGAAGGGAGTTCAGGAAGGGTGACCCTTCCTCAAAGGAGTGATCCTTAGAGCGCAGAAAATGTCCATTCCTGTATGCAGGAAAGGTGAGAAAGGGACCAGGAAGCCGTCTTGGTTTACCAGAGGAATCAAGGATTGTTTAAAAAAGAAAAAGGGGGCTTACAGACAGTGGAAACAAGGGCTGTGCAAAACAGCACCGTTTTGCTTCAACTTCCATTTTAAAGGGACAGTGCTTCATTTTGCTTTTTCGAAGCACTATTCCATTTTGTATCGTCAAAATTGTTTCGCTGTTTTGATGCTGTTTCAACGTTTCGCCCATAGGTTATAATGGGGAATAATGAAAATGCCTATAACTTTGTCATTTCTTTCTTGATTCAAATGAAAACAGCAGGCCCCTACTGAGGCCACAAAGCCTGTCAAATTTCAAGGAGATAGTTCAAGGGGTTTCTGGGAAACTGCACCTCAAACTGTTCAGAGCAAAACTCATGTCACTTGTAAGTGTGAATGCACAGAGAAAGCTCAGTTCAAACAATGCTTTTTATGCTGTTTTTCTGACCCTCCCCCAAAGCACTGGGATCAGAAGAGACCTCAGGGAAGAATCACAGAGGTGTACACAGCTGACATAAGTTATACTGCTGTAAATGTATTGTGTGGCCATGCTTCTACTCTATATTTTTTTCTCCTGTCTTCGATCCACTGCAAAGGTTTTGTATTTGCTCTGTGTTGTCGTTTGACACTTTACTATATCTGCATATATACTCGATTCAATGTCTTACCATAATTCAGTTCTTCTTTGAGCAAATAGAGCTTGCATGTCCTACATCCCTAAAAATGTATACATTAATCTTGTATAAACTTATTCACCATCCTATTCTGAAACTGTCATATTTAATCATATTTCTACCATAGAACCACAAAACCACTAGAAGTAAATTATAAATTATTTACTCCATGAATAGGCTGTTCTTAATGGCTTCTTCAGTCCCTGTATTGCTATCCATCTCCTTCCTCCTGGCAAAGCCCATGCAGATAAAGTTGGCTTTCAAGTTACTATTCATGGTCCACTTGAGCACTGGCTGCTGACTTGTGGCTATGATCTAAATTAGAGGCTTGTTTTTATTACTTTGTGTTTATCTGATTGTACATTCTTAGGGAGGTATACGTTCAGCTCTTGTGCTCATTGATAGCTCTCACTGCAATCAAAATGGAGTGCAGTTAGATTAAGACTGGAGAATAGGTTTTTGTCTTACCTCTGTGGTAAAAACACTCCTGAACAAAATTATTGCTCCTGAACATTGTTGAAATTGTTCTCCTAAAATCTTGGTTAGGTGTATATGATTAATGAATCAATGCAAGATTAATCCCAAAGCCATTGCTGAGCTCAGACCATATTTTTTCTTCCCTGTCTTAGTTTCGATTTTCTTCATCTTCTGAGATTTTCATGATGACTTTCGGTAGTTTCTGTGCTATTCTTCATGGAGCAGCCCAGCCATGCATGTTGCTTGTCTTTGGTATAATGACAGACACATTTATTCAATATGACATTGAGAAGCAGGAGCTTAGAGATCCAGGCAAAACATGTGTGAATAACACCATAATGTGGATCAACAGTTCCCTTCACCAAAATGAAACTATCCCATCAATAAGTTGCGGGTAAGTAGTCCATGGATTTGATTTTTTTTCTTTGCTGTCAGGTATTTTAAGTGCTAGTGAAGGCCAGTTCTGCCTCAGAGGCTGAGTTTTCTATACGTAGACCAGGAAGAACAAGGGAAAGTTTTCTACTAGTGAGCCCGAACTCTGACTTAAAGGCACCATCTGTAGGAATAGGAAGGTAGTTCATGTCTGCGCAGTCATTTGGACTTCTGAGCTACCAAAAATTGCTGTCAGCAGGGATGCTTCTTAGGGGAAGTATTTTTACTCTCATAGGAACACTTATCTACTAGGAACAACCTAAGACTAGCAATGTATTTTATGAAGATCACTGGGCATTCATTAGATTATAATGCATTTTGGTGAATTCCCATCTTCCTGGACCAGATTTGAAGCTATGACCCCAGATATGGTTCTGTATAGGGTTGCAAATCATTTAATTATCCAAGATTATTACATCTTAGGGTCCCTGACATTTTATGTGTGTAATTCTTAGTTTATGCAGGAGCTTTTAAATGCTTGGAATTGTTCTTTCTGCCTTTAAAATCTGCTCATTCTGAATTTGAGCTTGTAAGAAAATAGAATGGTGCCTACTATCATTAGCTCATAGAGAAATCTAGAGAAACAGCTAGGGAACTCCAGAGAGATATTTTTAAATAACCTTAGTATGAGAATTGATATTCTTCAGAAGCATTATAGAGACTATAGTAATTCTGTGTGACCTAAAACATCTGACCATTTTCACTGGTAAGCTTTATAACTGTTCAAAATAATATTTGATATTTGGATGTACTTTAACAAGAGCCTTTCTTATTAATCTGTAGAACACTGATTTTTGTAACCATGTTAGCTACCATAATGGTACAAAGTAACTAAATTCAGTTATCCAAAGAAAATATGTTGGTCCTCCCCCCATGCAATTCTCTATTTGACCTTTTCATTGCATGAGGCTTGGTAGCATTTCACAACCATCCCTTACAAACTTACATTCCACAACATCCTTTACAAACTACCCTTCCATGGCACAGAAGGTATGGAGAGAACTTCTTTGGCCCTCCCAAGTCCCTGATCTTTGCTAAGAGTAGACTGAGCATTAATGAAAAGTGATATCATTGATACTGATAACTGAAGTATTTGGACCTCCAGGATGCATCAAATTTAGAAGCATATTCAAAATACCTTTAAGATTCAAGACAGTGCATGTCCTTAAAACACTATTAAGAGGTTTTTTAAGCTTTCCAAAATGTATAATGCTATTGTTTGTTTTTTTTAAGGTTACTGGACATTGAAAGTGAAATGACCACATTTGCAGCTTACTATGCAGGAATTGGCTGTGCAGTGCTTGTGCTGGGATACCTCCAAGTCAGTATTTGATTCCCTAAGTTATTTCCTGTATATAAAATGAGAAACTGTTGTTTCATAACAGAGTCCCCTAGATTCCACTTCAGTGTATAAGGGACAAAACATGAGCTTTGTAATGCTTCAGATGCTAATCTTGTGGCCTGGCACTTTAGCATATACAGGTGACTAGCCCTCAGAATTCAAGTTGTGCATTAGCTTTCTGCTGGGCCTTTCCACAGGTGTGAACCCAAGTCAGTCATCCAGGAAGGTCAGAACCACCTGCTGCCTTCAAACCATATGGAAGTTTGGTTCACAATAGCCAGTGGCAGAATATAATGAGAGCCAAGTTCTGAGTGTAACACTGAAATATCTGTGTGGATAAGGCATTTGCTTTGTAATTTCCCCTAGCTGGTAAATGGCTCCATTCAATTTTCACTTATATTGGAAAAATCTGAAGTAGCTGCAATAAAGGCTAGGAAGATACAGTAGTATAAAATTGGTTTGAGAGGTGAATTGGGCCCAGAATTTTCTATAATAATAGTTTGTGCTACTGCAGTTTATATCTGTGTGATCTGAACCATCGCATAGAGCATGCTACTGTGGGATTTTTTTATTATTATTTTACTTTCCCTCTCTTCTTATTTGTCAATTGAAAAAGCCATTTTTATAGAGTTTTGTTGATTCAGAAAGATGGCCACCCCAGAGAGGGCTGCATGTCAGCAGGGAATGCAGAGTGGCTATAGTCTGTAGGCATAGGAAATAGTGTAAATAGGGGTGGCAAGGAAGAACAAGTGCTGAATTGGAGGGGCTTCAGAATGATGGCTGTGGTAGCAACAGGCAGGTGCAAAGACAGTCACAGCTGTTGTAGCAGCAAGAGCAATCAGGCATGGGCAAAACACATTGTGGCAGCAGCAGCTAGGGATTTTGAGTCCCCGAGGTGGACAAGAATGGCCCTCATTCCCTCCTACCCCCACCCTCTGGTGCTTAGAACTCCCTTCCCTCTCCCTCCCCTCTAGAGCATAGTGCTGGCTAGTTAGGCCTTTGGGCTTAGGCAGCTATAGATATACATAGCCTCCATGCAGTCCCACTGATATTAATTGTCTTGGCACTACCTCTCCCTCTCTTGCAACTGAGGCAGCTGCTTTCCCAGATTCTGTAAGGCAGGATTACTTACAGATAAAAGGCATGATATTAAACCCTTTATAGCTGGAATCCTTTTAATCATAATGGTAATCTCATCAAGAACCATGTTAGGGTATTTGCATTTATGGGAGTAGAAAGGATTTTCTTTTATTGCGACTCAGAAGTCACCTTATTCTCTTTCCAGATCTGCCTTTGGGTAATATCTGCAGCTCGACAGATTCAGAAAATCAGGAAAGCTTATTTCAGGAAAGTAATGAGAATGGATATAGGCTGGTTTGATTGCACATCAGTTGGAGAATTGAATACACACCTTTCTGAGTAAGTAGTCCTGCCACACTGCATATCTTTGTATTTTCTATGGTTTGGTGAGCAGCAGAGCAGCATATAAAACCACTGTGGGCCCCCATACATTCAATTAATGAAGGGTCAGATTAAAGACAGGACTTCAGTGCTTTAAGAAGGGTTTAAGGTAAATCTAGGTACCAAAGCCCAAACCTGCAAACTGAAAATCCCTGCTCATCTGCAACCTAAATCAGGAGCTGTGGAAACTTCATAGATGCCCCACTTTTTGACTTCAGGGTTCCCCAAGTGCCTAGAGTTTTGCCTCTCGACTTGTCCAGAACTGCCCTATCTTGATAGAGTTGACCAGCTTAGTTCATGTCTAAGCTAAACTGGGAGTCACAAACTTATCCAATGACTGTAGAGTGTAAAGCACAAACTCAGTTTTGATAGCCTGCCTGGGACACAGGGTATCAGCTTCAACAGAAGGGGTGAAGAGCTGCTCCCACTCAAATTAGTCTATAGTGTGGCGGTTAGAGCACGCCTTTGGTAGGTGGCGGTTTGAATCTCCTTGGCCAGAGGGAAGAACTGACTCTGGGTCTCCCACTCCCTGAGCAAGTGCTCTCACCGCTAGTCCATTATTCAAAAGGGTCGCTCCTACTATTCATCATGGTTATGTTGTAAGATAAAATGGGGAGTTCTATTGAATCCTTTGAAAGGAAGGACATAGGAAAGCCCCTACAGCAAAAGGTTCAGGCTGCAGCTCTACCATAGAGGGAGATGTCCCCTTAGAGTCCCGAATAAAGTGCCTACACACCTAACAGAGGGTTCTGGCTTCCACTTCAGGGGCTGGGCACTGGAAAGTTGGGTGTTACAGCACCCCACACATCTTGGACTAAATCTCCACGTCTCATAATAGATCTTGCTCTAAAAGCCTACTTCATATCCTACTACCTTCATTAAACATTAATCCAGATTGTAAAACTCTAATCCAAAGCCTACTAAGGTTGTTGGAACTTGTTAGGCTTGAATAGGAGCCAAAACCTTCTGTGCTCTAACCCAGAAAAAACAATGTGGATACTTTGGTGATTGGGGCTATTAAAATATTTAGCTAGACAGGCCATTTTATGGGATTAAATTTTATGATACCACCTCAAGAGCTTGTAGCTGGAAAACTGGATATTGCCTAGAAGTAAAGGGTTCCCTTTGAGTTTCCCATTCACAAAGACAAAATTTTGCATGTCGTCAAAATGGATGCTGCTGCCAAACTGCTGTTAGTTTGATTTTCTTCTTTTCTGTCCAGACTCCCTGAAAGTGGTGATAGGAAAAAAATAGGGGACAGGAAAGTTGCAGAATTCTCAAACCAAAAACAATAAATAATACTCATTAAAATAAAATTTAGCTCAGAATGTAATGGAGATGTAAAGAGATTCCACTGTCACCACTTGTCCTGTTCTTTACAGCGATGTTAATAAAATCAGTGATGCTATTGCTGATCAAGTAGCGATCTTTATCCAGCGCTTCAGTACCTTTATTTGTGGATTCCTGTTAGGATTTGTCAGTGGCTGGAAACTGACTTTGGTCATTATTGCAGCTAGTCCATTGATTGGGATTGGAGCAGCCATCTATGGCTTGGTAAGATATTTTTATGTAGTTTGTTTCTAAACATGATGGTTATTCATGGCAATGTATCATATATTTGGGGCCCAGATTCTGATTACAGTGCACTGCAATAAGTAGTGGGTACCTTTCCTAAGGATGGATCTACACTGCTGGGAAGTTTATAGTTACATGGCAACACAGGGTTCCTTGTGGGATAATTTGCCTTGCTTCTTGGCAAGGTAAATTAGCCTGTGTAGAGGTCTGTGATGCTATTGCTAGGCTGCTGCCAGCACTTGAGCTAACTCATGTATCTCTATATTATGCTGCAGGGGAGATGTTCAGTCAGTTGGCTGACTGTTGTTGAGATTATAATCTGGCCTCTTGCTTTCTTTTAATATAATATACACATTATGTTGGTCATTTTTATGGGGTTTGACTTCTGTGTCTGTGTTAGGGGAGAACTCTGGTAGGACTTTATAACTCATTTTCCCTTTCCTTTTTCCTCATTTTGCCTAACCAGATCACATATTTTCCTCTTCCTTCCTTGCAAATGAGAAGACACTTTTTTGTTGAGGTGTGAAATGAAGTATTAAAACAAAAATACACCTTAAAATCTGTGAGCATCTGTTCTTGATTCTCCTATCTTTGATATGGTGTCTGGCATTTGCTTTATTTCCCTTTCCATTTCCCTTTCACTCCATTGCCCTTTCTATTTATTATTTTGCTCCTCTCTCCGTTATAACCTGCCTGCCTTCCCACCTCTCTCTTCTTTCTATCTCCTGTCTGTGTTTTCTCGACATAGCTGATCTCTTCAGTTTCTGTGCCACCGCTTCTCTGTCAGTGGCTCTGCTTGCCCACTAGCTAATGGATTGCCTTCTTCTCATTATTGGTTCTCAATGTTCCTAATTGTCCCTGGGCATGAGATGGAAGAACCTAAGCTATGTTCAGCCCCTGGGTAGCACCGGAGATGACTACTCTTACAAAAGCAAAAGGGCTTTGGAAGAGAAGCATTGCAACTGCTTTGTCACTGCTTGTTCATCTAGAACTAGGTACAATGGAGACGTTAGGCACCTAAACATCAGCTGTTGCACTGCCTAATTTTTCAGGCTCTTAGCCTCCACAGGGGAATCCAGAACCCTGAGTTTAGCACCTAACCCTCAAAAGCACAGGTCAAGTGTTAGGTACCTCAGAATGGGATCCACAAGCGGCCTGCTGAATTAACCAATAGAAATGCCGAAGACAGGGATACGTCTTAAATGCTGCTCCTCAGAGATGTTCCTTTCATCTGTTTAGATCCACAGCCTGGAGCTCTCACCCAAAGGTAGGGCCTGACAGACTTTTTTAGTTTATTAAAAAACTGAGCAGGGCTCACTTGTAAACTATGCAGCCAGAGGAGGAGCCTACTTTTCCTGTAATCCCTGAGTAGTTAGAGCACTTGCCTAAGAAGGTCTTTTCAAGTCCTGCCTCTGAAGAGCAGAAGCCCACATCTCCTACCTCTCAGGCTAGCAAAGTTTGGCTAGAGGCTCCTTCCATCCTTCTTGTTGAAGCTGTCATGTTCAGAAAGAAATGCAAGATTCAGAGAGAGAGAGTGGGGAGGGGGAGGAGAAGCGGGGGTTGGGGTGTGGGGGGAAAAGGAAGAGGGTGAAGGATAATGACGAGA